TTTAGTTTTTATTGTAAGTTCTTTTTATCTCATACACGTCTTTCCATTTCAGTTATAATGTTTAATCTTTTTATTATTTAAGGGCAAGTATGGTTTAAGCTTGGGGAGATTTAGCCATTTTATTCATCTTTTAGGTTAGTTTTTATTAGCATTTCGCATCATATTTTATGCTTTTTCATATGCATTAGTTTAAATATTGTTCAGCTCATGTTTATCATCAAAATTTTCGTACTTCTCATGTTTTTATGTCGGTTTCAGATAATTCGAGTGGAGCAGTACTTTGGAAGCAGCTTTGGATGTATATTTGGAGCTTAATTGAGCTAAAATACCTGAAGAAGCTGGAAGTGGGGTTAGATTTGCTGAAACTGAAGAGTTTGCGTCTGAATCATGCGTTTTATGAAAAATATGATCATGGATTCTCAAAAATACGATTGCATTTATGCATCGAGGATTTGTTAGACCGAATATTCATCTGGTGTCTTTTTAGATAAAATACGATCGTGGAAACCTAAAAATGCGATCTCATTTCTCTCATGATGTCTTAAAAGTGTTCAAAATAGCAACGTACTTCATTAAACAAAGTTTCTAGGATTTATTCCAAAAATGCAATTAACCATGCGATCGTATTTTCCAAAAAATGCAATCACATTTTTCACTTTCTTGCTCCGGAAGTTGTTGGCTCATATATAAAGGCTCCCTCTCACGATAAGTTTTAGCCTTGGACGTTCCCAAACGACAAAACAATTTTCGAAGGCGATTTGCTACACTTTTTCATCACTTTCTGAAGATCTTATGGTTGTGGATAATCTTAGTCAATTATATTATTAAGAATTAGTAGTTTAATCTCCTTTTTAATAGTTTTGATCGGATTTTAGCCATGTTTGGCTAAAGCCTAGATTTCAGTTCTGTATAGATCAGCACTTTTCATGTAATCAATCATTAGATTTAGTTTTTGATTTGTGATTATATCTAGATTTTTTAGTTTTGTCTTTAATGAATGTTTGATTTTGATTCGTTTTGGCTTGATGACCTAATTTATGATTAAATCAATAAGTTAACCAGTTGAAATCCGTAATTATTTTATCAATTTGGTAATAAGTAATAAGTAATAAATCAGTTCTATGTTTGGATTTGACTTTATTATAAACTGAAATTTCATATCTTTATGCTTCTGAGCTTGTGAGAAGTATTGGATATTGTTGGGAGTTTTACACATATCTTAATACGATTTTTTTGAATTTAATTAAGAGCTTGTTTAATTAGATTAGTAAAAGGTTAAGGTTAAGTGAAGATCTTGTTTTGGTTAATTTAAGTAGGTAAAGGGGAATATATTAGTGTTCGTTAGTTTTTCTCAGTACCAATTTAGATAGAACACATTTTGAATAATCAGGTCATTGTTGATTGCATGATTACGAAAGTCGCAGTAGAACTGAATTCGTTTTTATTGCTAAATTTTATTTAGTTATTTTTAGTTTTAATTAATAATCGAAATCCCCCGTTTCATATTTTTTGTTTTATGACTAGTATGTGTCTTACGCAAAGATGCATTGACCATTAGGCTATGTCCCTGAGGATTCGATTCTGCTTCCCTGTGCTATAATTTAGTACATTCGAGCAATGGAATTTTATTTGCTTAAATCGTGCGCGACAACGATTTAACACCTACTAAATAATCAAACATAAAAAATAGAACACTTATTAATAAACAAACGTTTTGTATAAACAAATTTTAATTTAAACATCACACAAAACCAACTTCTAATATGCAACGTTTTACCATCATGAATTATATGTATATCTAATGTTACTGAAAATCTACAATATATGAGGGTTTAGGCCTGCTACAAAGAGGTTAGGCCTGCTACAACAGAGCACACAAAACCATATGACTACTACCTTTCGTATTATATATAAAAAACTTCTATTTTGCATAAACAATCACCTATTTTGTATTTATAGGGTGATGTATATTGGAGGAAATTTTATAACTCTTATTTTATATAGGTTAAATTATAGAAACATTTTGACTGTCTTTATTTACTTTAAGAACAATTCTAACATTATTAAACAAATACTAAATCAACACCAATTAATTAATATAAGCAAAAAACTCAACAATGTACAATATCATACATCAAAATATAGTTGATTATGTTAAGTAACATGCCTTTAACAATTGTTAATAAGTGATCAATATTTGACCATTATTAATAAGTAACATATCTTTATGAACCAATAGCTTAAATTAACATTGTTTCAGTTAACATATGCCAAATATTAAAATTTAATTTAATAAAACCTTATAAAACATGTATAATTAGACCATATCAATTAAATTTATTCAAATATATAAAGGTCGTGGTCGAGATATAGGTGTTGATATTCAAATGAAAATTTCAAACACAACAAATATATCAATTATGTAAACTTAGAACAACAGGGCATGGAGAATATTGATGATTTTGTATCATCAATGTGTATTTAAGTGTAATGGATTGACTTGTTGACCAAAAATAAATCTTGATGAATATTAAACAAGTAAGGAAGGTGCGGAGTGCACACTTGTTTAAATTCATTCAAGATTCAAGTAGACTGTCATTTAGGGGCGAAGCCCCTAAACGAACGGTGGTCCGGGGGCAACGCCCCTGGGAGCGGGGTTCAAGGGGCGGCAGCCCCTGGCGGGGTCCAAGGGGCAAACAACTGCCTTGACAAATGAAGTACTTAATCATTTTGGTCATCATTTTTCTGGTACAACAATCACGAAAATCATACTTCATATTCTCTGTTTTTTAAACTCTTCTAAGTCTTATCTGATTAAAGGTTGGGAGTACCACCCAAATACTTTAATCTAAAAGTGTTCACACGATTCTCAGAATTTTCAAGCCTTTTATTACCCCGATTTTCTAACAGAGAATGATCTATGTAATCAGGGTCGGTCCTGTAAAATGAAATATTCTTAAAGGCCCAGGACGAACAAGAAAAAAAGGGTCCTTATCTTTATTATAATTTTGTATTTTAACATAAAAATATATAATGAAAAAAATTGGGCCCTATGCAGCTGCCCACTTTGCCCCCCTCCTCCCCCCCCCCCCCTAAGCCCCCATGTATGTAATTGATACAAAATAAAAATAGCAAATCCCATAGGTGGTGTGGAATACCCACTCAATCATTTTCTGGTGTTAATGAGGTTTTAGATTTTACAAGAAAATGGGGGTACTGTCCAAAAAAGAAAGAAGCACTAACCGGTATTATATACGGATGTCTTTGGAGTTTATGGAAGGCGAGGAATGATCGTGTTTTTAGAGGTGAGGCATCAAAACGGGCGATTATTGTGGATTCCATAAAAGCTATCGTATTTACGTGGAGAAAGCATAGAAGTCAAACAGGTGAAAAAATGGAGTGGGATAAGTGGTGTGTATCACCATTAAATTGTATATAGCATATGCTTTCTTTTCTCTATTGGATGTAAATTCTGGCCCTAGTATCTTGCTAGGGTGTTTTTTCAATAAAATTGCCGGTTCAAAAAAAAAAACATAATTACAAATAGTGGAAACTAACTTCTTGCTTTATTACTTAAACTAATTACTTATATCTTATTTAAGTAAGATTATATTATAAAATATATTTTTAGAAATCCATATTAGTTACTTACCGTTAATCCATGTTTGCACATTTATGATTAAAGACTATAGTTGCAGATATATTATTAATTATAATCTCTGTTTATTTTCAAAATTATTTTATACCAATAATCGTGTAGTACACGAGTTATAACCTGATTATCTAATAAATAATATTATAATTGAAAAAAAAAAAAGAACAGTCGGATCCTGCCACATGGCTGAAAATCAGTCTCCATAAAAGACTGTAGGAGGGAACCTAATTGCTATATATATATATATATATATATATATATATATATATATATATATATATATATATATATATATATATATATATATATATAGGGTTAGATTATTTTGTTTTTATTAACTATTGTGTGACAGAATGCACAAATCTGGACCAACAGATGGAATTCATCAATGGACATGATTTGAGAGTGTATGATATTACAATGGGATAGCATGTACCATATAATCATACAAATTTTAGCAAAAGGGTATTTTAGACAATTAACTACAATTAAAAGGAAATTTTCGGATATTTATGGATAATTAATTCTCCTAATTTTAAAAATATGAATTTTTTTAATTAATACAATTTTAATTCTAACATAATTTGTAAACATAACCGATTTTATTCTGTCAGAATATTTTTTTATTTAGAATGATGCTCTTTCAGAATTTTATTCTATTAGAATATTATTGAGGAATAACAAAGTTCTTGAATCTGAGGTTGAAAAATAGCAACATTCTAATATATTCTTATACATCCAAACTTAAATACAAATTCATACATATTCTTACAGACTAAAAGTCTTATACATTTTAATATAATTATACATATTCTAAGAGAATATTAACAAAAATGAATAAAATTCTTAAAAAATAACAACATTATTAAAATGTGAGTATGATCAAACTTTATTCATTCTTCAAGTTATTCCTATTAGGTCTTCAACACATTCTTCCAGCCATTCCTATCACAAATACAACAAAAACTAATAATGGTTAAAAATATGTTGTTTGCAATTAACTATCACTTTATATATTCTGATAGAATACATAGAATATATTCTGGCAGAATACATAGATTTTATTCTGGCAGAATATATTCTGACAGAATACCTAGAATACATTAAAAAGTATCGTATTTACTGCTAATATAATTTTTAGATTCCAAATACACAATAACAAAGGGAGAGTAGAAATTGGAATTCAAAATCACAAATTGAACCAAAATAATACACAAACAAATTACTTACCTTTTTAAACAATTTTCTAGAACAAGATGAGTAGCTTTCACCGATCTATATTGGCATATGATATTAAGCCTTTACTATGTTGGTATATGAAATCAAACAAAATTAATTCAATTGTTTATCCATGTGCAATGATGATCCTAAACAAAAGTTAAAGAATAAGAAGATAACATGATGAAAAAAAATATTTGACTTTTTAGGTCAAAACATAGATTATGTTATTGTGATTTCAATCTTTCATACCCACCATTTTTAAGACACACCTTCTGCAAACTCGACAATGGTGTGCTCTTGGAGGCTTGTATGCAGGACATTTGTCACATCTTTTTTTAAGTGCTTCCTGAAATATGCATCGTATTTATCAAGAAAAAGATATAAGTGATTTCAAGTGTAAACAATGTGAAATCGATATGAAGTATTTATTTGGTTGAATTCCTTGTGATTTTGATTAGGTATAAAGTATTCTAACAAGTATTCTACAACAATAAAACTAATTGGGATATTTCAATGTATTCATATATGATTCGTTATCTTGAACAAAGTTTTTAACCTTGATCATCACCCTTTGGGTCAATTTAAACACAAATAATCACCGAATTCAATTAACATAAGCTGTTCTAAAGAGAAAACCGATATGGGTCTGATCAAAATATGTATGAAGAATTCGAAAGGGGTATGAATAAAACGTGAATCTTACAGCGTCTCTCGATTCTTGATTTGAGCCATCATTGTCCTCAATATTAGGGAAATACCCAGATGGGACACCACCAGGATCAGTGAGAACGGAGACGAAAAACGAGAAAAGAGTGAACGATGCCAACGAAGTGAAGATCACGGCGTTTATCCAACCTGCTGGGCTCTGTAACCCTAACCAATCATCAAGAAATACGAAAACTGTACCATAATAGACCATTTCCATTAGTACCAAAACTGCTAGAATAGGGAACGATACAAATCTTCGCCATTTCATCTCGCTTGATTGCTTGATTTTGGGGAAGAGTAGAGGGTTGAGTCGGAATGGGTTTTCGATCGAAGGCCCAGGAAAGTGAGTGACACGAATTCCGTTCCAGTCAAGATGCCCTTTGCCTGTTGAAATGAAAGAAGAAATTTTGTAATCGGGTAGTTGAGGAGGAAGATAGATGCGCAGTGCAGGGCGCCGATTGAAATCGATTTAGGGCTAATGTTCTATATTTATCTTTGCTTCTTGCGTGATATAAGGAATTGTTGTTAATCTACCATAATTAACTATGCAAAGATTACTATAATACCCTTAAATGATTTATTTAATGATTTAGTTTTTCCTAATTTCCTATTGGTGCATTCATGCACACAATAGTTGCTAAAAACATTTGAACCTAGCTCTATATATATATATATATATATATATATATATATATATATATATATATATATATATATTCACATAAGATGTTAGATGTCATATAGGCAATTTGTTGCATCCAAAGTAGCAATAACCATAATAGATTGTTTTATTTAGTAAAACCTTAGATTAATATTAAAATAGCAAAAAAATTAATGTTATTTAAAACACAATCGTTTATAATCTTTTTTTATATAAAAAAACTAGGTGTGAGACTCATGTATTACATGAGCTTTTTTTTAAAAAAAAAAAAAAAACTAAATACAAAATTCTAACCATTTGAAAAGTATGAATTTATAAGAAAAGTGAAAAAATATTGAATTATAAAAATTAAAGTGTTTTTTTTCTCTTTTAAATTTAAACAAATAATTTAGATAAATAAATAAAGAAAATTAATGAATCTTTAATTTGGTAATTTTGAAATTAGAAGGAAAGTTCATTAATGAAATTAATATGCATTTATTATTGAATATAAATACTATCTACAATTTAATAAAATGAAAAAAAAACCATAAAATGACTTGTGGAATAAAAATTAATTTAAAATAACCACAAAATTACATGTGGCAAAATAAATGAGAATGTGACATGTGTCAAAAAGATCTTTATTTATTAGGGAGGATGCACATTGTATGGTATCATAAAGAGCCATCCCATGATACGAGTTTCGGTAGATCCCATGCATGATTCTACGAATTCCATAGCGTCGACAAACTAAAAAAACAAATTTACATTTAATCGTGTTAAAACATCCCACATCCATTTGTTCTTATTACAACATAGTACTTTTAATTTTTTTATTAACAAATTGTACTTTAAAAATCCAATCCAATTATAACATTACGTTTTTAATTTTTTTTTATCACAACATTATATTTTGAAAAATCAACGCAATTACAACAGTGAAAATTGGGGAAGATGTAAAGACTACCATTAAAGCAGCCCAAGCGAGACTTACTGTATCCATGTCAATTATGTCCCTTATCTTTATGCTAGAAATATTCAATAATTGTATTGCTCACTAATAATAGTAGAATCCATGGTTATATTGCAAAAATTGGGTAGAATTTTCTAAGCACAATGATGTAATAGGAAGAAATTAAAGTAGAATGCTATAATAAACAGATTACTAAAAGTACGCTCCTATTTCTTTCATTTAACCTTGCATCATAAGGCCAAAAGTTTATTCAACATCTCACTATCAACCCCTTTGAGCTAACGAAAAGTAATAATTCTCGACAAATTTGGTTAATTTAGGTTAAAAATGTATCTATTCAAGCCACAGGCGTTTCTTTTGACTCATACAACTTAAAAAACAATCAATAAGCAAATTCCAATACCTTTTTTTTTCGTTTTTTCAAAACAAGTGGAACTTAGATTTATTTTGTATTTTTCACTATGAATGAGTTTTTCTTTCCTTAACATATAATATAAAAGACGAATTTGTTTAACTTATTCGATTAACTTCCATTGATCAATCGTTTTTTGAAGAAATGAAGAAGACACGAATGACATAACAAATCATTCGACTTATCTCACACATAACTATAGTACAATAATGAAACAAAACACAACTTAATAAACAAAACTTAAATTACTAACTTAATTTTAGTCAACTCATTATGGTAACTACTAAAATACAATTAATGAACCAAATTACTATAGTCAAGTTAGAAACTTTTATCTCTATGATGAAGCAAACGAAGCATTGATATCCATTGGCTTTTCTTGATCATGGAAACATATTCCTGCCTTATTAAACAAAGAGAGCAAATACAACAACTCCTCATTCGATAATTTTGATGGTCTTTTATCTTCAAGATCCGCACTTCTAAGAATCCCCACAAGTTTTTCCTTAAAACTTCCCAAAAAGATCGATTCATCTTTCTCATCATCACTTGAATTAAAAACATCAAGTGGCATAATATTTTCATCAAAATTTGTTACTTTTGACAAATTTAAGAGCTCTGCGACCTTTTTCTTCTGCTTGAAAGTTGCACCCAATGTCTTGTTTTTCTTGCCAAAACATGTTTTAGTGAAAGCCCACCATTCATTGAGATTTACATCTGGGATTTCAGTTTTCAAATGGATTTTAACAACTGAAGAGTCGACTTTTGGGATTGGGATGAAATCTCTTTTGCTTACGTTCATGACATGCTCAACATCAGCAACCAGCTTCACATTAACAGCTAATCTATTGAACTCTGAGTCACCAGGGTTAGATAAAAGCCGAATAGCAAACTCTTTTTGAAGAAGAAGAGTTGCACTTCGAAAATGGTATCCTCCAAACACCAATTTAGCCACTAGAGGTGATGATATATTATAAGGAATGTTTGCCACCACAAGATCAAAATGTGGGAAATCTGTCTTTAGTGCATCTTTAGATATAATCTGCAAGAACCCAATTGGGATTTAGATCATCTGTAACCATTTCTAAATTTAAAAACTGACGTTTCGTAATATAGCTTCATTGAGACATTTCATCGAACAGTTTATAAGCAACTTATTTCTTGGAATAATGTACGACTTACCGTTAGTTTCTCGCTAAGCCCCTGTTCAGAAACACGAGTGTGAAGAGCCTGTACCATACGTTTATCAACTTCAACTGCAACAACCTTGTCTGCAACTTCAAGAAGCTTCAGGGTAAGATTTCCGGTGCCAGGCCCGATTTCAAGAACCGTATCACCCGGTCCCACACCAGAGCTCCTTACAATGGAATCAAGGATTCTCGGATTAGTAAGAAGATGTTGCCCCCTGCTTTTGTATAGCTGTAAACGATCCTCTTGATTACCCTTTCTTTTTCGAGTATAAACATCATTATTGTCCTCGTCGTCATCGTCGTATCTGTTCTTGAATGGAGGACGACCTGATTTCGCACGAAGCTGGTGAACTTGGACAGCGAGTTGGCGAAGAATATATTTCGGAAAACGATTAATGGAGGATTTGGAACATCGAAGCATACTGATAAAGAAGCTGCGAGGACCGTTGAAAGCTTTGAATTTCGGTTGCAGCTTGTTTTTCTTAAGTTATTTTGCTGCTTTCATGTAATGGAAAACAAAATAAAACAAATTTTACTTTGCAAAAAAGTGATTTATTAGTTAAATGCTAATTTAATTAACTGTAAAAATACAAAATAGCATTGTCAGTTTTGTTGAATTATATTATTCATCAATATTTTTAATCTGAAAAAACTGTAAAAATGGTCGGTTGCACTTTTTTTTACTAAGATTTAAAAAATTGGTCAGGATTTCATGAAAAAAAATGGTCAGGAATGGTCCCTATAGTTATCAATATTCTACAATTTCAGTCCAAAAATGTTTGAACTTGCACCGGTGATTGAAATTGAATAACTTTTATGGTTTTGGTCCCTCCCAAACTTATCTTTTTAAGTATTTGGTCCATATCAAACTCGAAATTACTAATATATGTCTTAAGTAATTAGTTTCTTATTTTCTTTGATTTCATTTTTATTGTTATTATCATTAAACTATATAAAAGACCCACAACTATCCCCACCCCACCCGACCCTACCCTTCCCCTTATCATTCTCTCTCTCTCTCTCTCTCTCTCTCTCTCTCTATTTATCTATCTATCTATCTATATATATCTCTCTCTCAAAATCCTAAAAAGTGTTCAACCTTCATCCTTCGAACCTTGGCCACAAATGTTTAAAGGGACTTCAAACCCAACCTAAAAAATTGAAGATGAGTCATGTGTGTCTCGATTTTTGGATATTTGAAGTTGAAATAAAACAAGATTTTGAGGGTTTTATGTTAAATCTAAGAACAAAAGTGAAGACGAAACTGAAGATCTAAGGGATGTGTGTTAAATATGGAGATCTAAAGATGAAACTAAAATAATATGTTGAGATTTTTGTGTTAAATATAGAGAATCTAATATGAAATTTTAATGAGATCTTGATTGTTTGTGTTAAATCTTGAAATATGAAGACGGAATCGAAGTTGTGTTATGTGTGGTAGTTTTTTATATTTCTTTCTCAAGGTTTATACGTGTGTTCTTGTCTTGACTATGGGGTATGTGTGGGTTTGTGTGTGTAGGATATGAACCCAAACCTTCATCTGGTTCATCATTGTGCATGTGTGTCTTGAATAAGGACGGGAGAGATAAATAGAGGTGTATGTGTCTTCATATGTGTTGAATCTAAACCTAGATCTCAATGTTTTTTATTTGTAGGCATGTGTAGTGAAAGACCTTGTATGCTCAAGAAACATTATAGAATGATATTGTTAATAACATATGATCCTATAGGGACACACCTTATAGCAAGTTGCTATCAATTGATTGTTTATTAGTATAATTTGATTATTAATAAATATACCAACACTTGTATTTAATTGGAAAAAAAATTACTATTTGAGAAATAATATTTTACCAACATATTGGGAATTACTATTTCTAGAAAATAATAATAAAGAGAACAAAACTATCTATATATATATATCTATATCTATATATATATATATATATATATATATATATATATATATATATATATATATATTTACCATATGGTATGATTATTAAAGTTGTGTACAAACTTTTGGACACTTTAGGTAACCAAATGTTTACAACTCAACGAACTAGACATGGGATATGTAATAAGCACTTAGATTTTGTCTCTTTCACTATGCGTGGGAGGGACATGATTTTGAATTGTTTATTACTTAATTCCATGCTTGTAAGAAAACCTTACCTCTTCACTTTTTGGTATTGACTTTTGTATACATTTGATGGTATATAAATAAGGCATTTACTAGTCATTTTGTTGGTGTTTTTGCTCACAAGAATCCTCTCAAATGGCAGCTAAATTCTGGAAACTCTAAGCCTATCCCTCTTTTCTTTTGTCTTGAATTTGGTGCTAGAAATGAAGACATAAGTTGCTTCTCTTTAAGCACTTATTTGGTATAAGTCTTAAATGTTAAGAACAACTTTATAACAAGTGCTTACTAGCTTTTTTAGCGGTGCAAAGTTTTCTTGGTGGAAACATTATAGAGAGCTTGATTTAGAGCTTAAGTCATCTTCATCAACTTCCTAATTACCAAAAGGAACTAAAGTCTTCAAATGTTGTTTCACTTTCTTCTTCTTTGGTTGTGTATAATCTTTCTAAGTTCTTGAAAAATGATCATTGGCGGGTATAAAATGGTTTTATTTTATTCAAACCAAAATGTTTTCTTTGTGAATTACGTCTAATTTTGTGTTTATAATTGCAATATTATGAATAAAAATCTAACAATTGGTATCAGAACAATTTTTGCAAGATTAGTTATATTATTTGTTAAGTTGATGAACCTTTGTTATTGGAAAACATGGATGGTTTTCTCTTTGCAAGAAAAATCCATACATATTTTCTTTAACAACTTTATAATTGTTATTTTTTGGTGACAAAAGTTTACATGCATTTTTTGTCATAAAAGTTGTTTTAGAAAAACAAAGAGTTGTTACATATTATTAGATATATATATATAATATATATATATCTATATATAATATATATATATATATATATATTGTAACAACGTAAATTTTCAAAACGATTTTTCATTTTTCAAACATAATATATCTCATATAAATCATCTCAACTCAAGTGTAACAAATGTGATCACGGTAAAACATATCCCAGAATCTCAAATACAAAATCCTCTGTCAGTTTGTACAAATCATGTCGGCGCCTTCCCGCGATCCTCGCTAGTACCTGAAACACATATCACATAACATGGTAAGCATAAATGCTTAATGAGTTCCCCAAAATACCACATACAATACATAAGCCACTCGAGGCTATAACTCGGTAAGACCCTCCGGTCAATGTGTCTCAGCGGGACCCTCTGATCCCGTAGCTCGTTGGACCCTCCAGTCCGGTCTATATAACACATAGCATACATATATCACAACGCATATAAACTCAAACATACACATAACACATAAGACCCTCCGGTCTGCACATAGATACCACTCTAGGTAATGTATAGTGAGAAGACTCACCTCGTATGATGTCTAGTAAACTCTCGTGCTCGATATCCCTGATCTAGCCTCCGCCTATCAAAATGATAATGTCTCTAATCAATACTCTTCTCATGTTCTCATCTCTAAGGAATGGGTAGAAGACCATTCTACCCTTCTATGGCCTCTCTCTTGAATCAGTTTGACCAACCCCCAAGGTCAACTGAAGTCAACTCTAGTCAACGGTCCACTTTGACCAGACTCGTCGAGTGCACTCGGGTGACTCGGCGAGTCCATGCGTCCCCTCTAAATTCTCCTAAGGATTCACTCGACTCGTCGAGTTATCCTTCACTCGACGGGTTACCAATGACCACGAATCGCGGGGCAACCCGATCCGACTCATCGAGTTCTCTCATGGACTCGGCGAGTTTCCTCCATGGCAATACTCTTTTGACCTTCTGAGGTCAGATCTGTTTCTCTAACTTATAGATTTGACCTTCTAACACCCAAAAGTCACGTAAAGGTCTGAACTTAGTGTCCATGCATGGTGTATCTTGCATTATATACCATAGAAACCCCATTATTGCTTCCTAGCTTCAAAACCCTATGATTACTCGACTAAAGCTTCATACTTTCTGATTCTCTGGACCTAGGAAGGTCCAGATCTATCACACAACTCGAAAGAGGGTTTTGATGCATTCAAGACCCCAAAAATGAAGTGGTTCAAGCCCTGACCCCAATAAATGGAATCAACACAATAGGGAAGAAGAGGGGTACGATTTGGTACCTCAGAATGAAGCTCCTTGCTTGAATATCTCAAAACAACAACCTCCTATGGTCCTTCTTGTTGGAACTCTTCTCTTCCTTAGCAAAATCACACCAAATAGCTCAAGATAGCTCTTTCCCTCACTCTACACACTCAAGATCGCTAGGGTTCACTCTTCTGGAAACATAGCCGCAACTGAAGGCCATAAGTGCCTTTAAATAGGGCTCAGGCCCAAAGATTTAGGGTTAATGTCCACAGCGCAGACTCGTCGAGTCGACTCACCGACTCGTCGAGTCCATTCATTAATCTGAGTCATCAGTCGCGACCTTACTCGACGAGTTTAGGCGTCAACTCGTCAAGTCCCTCTTCTTAACTCCAAAAATAAATACTTAAATTATGATACCTGGAAATCCGGATGTTACATATATATATATATATATATATATATATATATATATATATATATATATATATATATGATATGCATAAACTAGCATTGGACCCTTGTGTTGTTGTTTGTGTTGTTTTGTTTAGAATGGTTGAAATTATGTATTTATTCATATGGGATTTAAATAGTTATTTTTTCTTGTTTATTTTTGTAAGTAATAGATTAGTTTTTGATATAATTTATTTTGTACCAAAGTGTAACAATAAATGAAGATGGAACCATTTTTGAAGATCAAAAAAGGCATTTTTCGTAGCTTTTAAAGTGCAGGTACAAAGGAAACATTTTCTGAAAAGTGTTGCTCTTGGCCTAGTGCTTCATTATAGTTCTTATAGTATTTCACCTAAGGAAACAATTTCATGAAGTGTTGCATGTTGTTGATTTTAAGCCCTTTAAAGATGTTTTCAGCTTTTTGAAAGCGATGGATGTTTTCTCAAGTGGGAGTTTCAACAACAACATTACTAGAAGTTTTTGGTCCCTTAAATGTCCCTTTAGGAATGAACTTGACATTTTGTGATGGTTCATAAAATTTCATTAGATGGTTGGTTTATACACATATGTTTTTTGAATGTTTGTGTTGTTTTATATTTATGTTGTTATTATTATGTTCTGGTTAATAATTTTTTTTTCAAATGATAAATAATATTTGAACATAAATAAACATTACAAATGAGTTTGATTTTAATGAAATTTACCTTTTAACATAAGATGGTAAAAATTGTCTTAAAATAAAACAAGCTTGATTTATTAAAACTAATAACCGGTTAAACTTCAGGATTTAAATTATATAAGTTTAAAATAAAGATTTATAAAATTATCAAACTCCAAACCTTTTTTTTATAAGAGGAAGTTTTATTAAAAGGTTTACAAAT